GAGAAGAAATACTTCCTAACATCCAACCTGTGTCTGCCCTGACTAAGCTTATACCCATTTCCTCTTGTTCTATCACCCAACACTAATGTAAAGAGCCCTTCCGCTACCTCCCCACCATCCCTTCTCAAGTATTTGTAGGCTGTAATCAGGTCTCCCCTCAGCCAATCTCATGATACAGAATGATCAAGTGATAAAAAGGGGAGATGAAAACAAGTAGCAGTGCATGTGGGAGGCATTTTGTGTAAACAATGGTTGGCCCTAGTTGGCTACTTCTCAGGAAAGAGATCTTGGTGTCCATCTGGACAGTTCTCTGAAAATACCAGTGGTCAAAGAAGCAAACAGTGATAGGCATGATTATGGAAGAAAGAGAAACAAACATCATGTCATAGATTCATAGATTCATAGATTCATAGATTTCTAGGTTGGAAAAGACCTTAGAGATCATCGAGTCCAACCATCCCTAATCCCCATTAAACCATATCCTCAAGTAGCTCATCCACCCTATTCTTAAACACATCCAGGGATGGGGACTCAACCACCTCCCTGGGCAGCTTATTCCAGTGGCTGACAACCCTTTCAGAGAAGAAATACTTCCTAACATCCAACCTGAATCTCCCCTGACTAAGCTTATGCCCATTTCCTCTTGTTCTATCACCCATCACTAATGTAAAGAGCCCTTCCCCCACCTCCCCACCATCTTTTCTCAAGTATTTATAGGCCGTAATCAGGTCTCCCCTCAGCCTCCTCTTCTCCAGGCTAAACAGCCCCAACTCCCTCAGCCGCTCCTCATAAGTTTTATTTTCCAGACCCTTGACCAGTTTAGTCGCCCTTCTTTGGACCCGCTCCAGGAGCTCAATATCTCTCTTAAAGCGAGGGGCCCAAAACTGGACACAATATTCCAGGTGCGGCCTCACCAGTGCCGAGTACAGGGGCAGGATCACTTCCCTGCTCCTGCTGGTCACACTATTCTTGATACACGCACACTATTCTTGATACACGCAGATGTCCCTGTGAAGCTTGTGATTTTTGTGTAATGTTCTGGTCGCCATGATTCAAACCAGACATACCAGAACTAGAAAAGATAACAGGGAAGGTGGCAAGGTTCGGTATTCTTAGAGAGGAGCACGGGACAGGGAATTGGGAATTGGTTATGTAACAAGGCCCACAGAGATAGGGGCTTCACTAGCTGAGACTCACTCCCACTGTACCCATGCAGGGCTGTCCCAGTGAGGGCTGTCAGAGTCAGCCAAAAGTCCATAGTGCCAAACAAGTACATAGTGATGGAACAAGGCCAAGGCCAAGACAGGAGACTGAGTCAGAATCAGGTTCAGAAATGGTAGCAAGAGCCAGACATGGTCTAGTGATCACTAGCAGGTCCATAGTGATGAGGCAGGTCTGAAATCAAGCCAGGAATTCACCTCCTAGGAATGACCAGGGTCTAGGTCTACATGGTACGTGGCTGCAACACAGCTGCAGCGTAGCTCAAGGTAGGCAAAAGGCAAAAGCCTCAGCTTAAAAGCAGCTCCCAAGGGAAGGAGGGGCAGCCATTTCTGAGTCTTCTTCCAGCTTTCTTCAAACAATGTTTTTCCAAAGTCACCAGCTGTACTCTTTCTAAGCTGGCCTTGAACCCAGCCAAACACCCAGAAGGTGGGTGGGGGAGAATGCACTTGGGGCCTTCCCAGGTTTGGTCACAATTTTGGAACATCTGAAGAAAGGCTTAAGTTGACCGGAAACTTTTCAGCCTAAAGAGAAAGAACAGTGCTGATATGACTCATAGCTGTGAAATAATGAACGGCATAGAGAAGGTGACTAGGGAATGAATGTTCACTGTTTAATGTAATAAGAGAAGTAGATGGAAATCAAACTTCTTGATTGATTGAAAGCAAACAAAAGGAGAAACTTTTTCATACATGACAAAATAAAGTTGTTAAATCAATTCCACAGAGCTTGTGGATAACAGAAGTATAGATTAGTTCAAAAGGATTAGAAAAATTCATGTGACAAAACTTAACGAATTTGTTAAACACAAAGACAGTACCTCTCACTCAGATCTCCCTTATTTTTGTGTTTTGGAAGCTGAGAGGATATATTAAAGGTAGAGTTTATCCAGCTTTTTTCCCTCTTTCCTGAAGTATCTTCTACTGGGTGTTGTGAAGGAGCATAGTGAACTGGATGGAACTTTAGTCTGACTCTTTAGAGCTGTTTGTTTCTCTATTAAGCACAAAAGACAATGCAGGACAGTCATTTAGAAACAGGTCAAGAGGCTCAATTATTGACAAAAACAGAGAGGAGGGGGTTTTTACAAAATAGATCTAAAAAGGAGGAATGGAAAGGTGGACAAAAAAAAAAGAAATTATTCTCACCATAAAACCTATGGGATAAAAGATAGCAAAGAAACTGAAAGAGACTACTCAGGAAACCAGAGCACCTGGGATGATTGCAACAAGGACTGTGGAAGTAGAACAGCCTGAAAGTCAGAAGAGAGATTTGAGCTTTGTAAATAATAGTGCCTCACTCAGATGAGATAAGAGCGACATGATTTGAGGAGATAGTTATGCTGATATAACTGAAGAGAATGACCTCTGGAGCTGGTTTGAAACACATGATGGAAAAAAAAATGTGGATGGCAGAAGTCCAAGTAAAAATACCAGAGCAATCAGCATGAAATATGAACTAGTTTTAGCAGCAGGGTTAGTCAAGAAAAAACAAATCTCAACAATATTGAGATCATAGTAGTTGTGCAAATTAGTATGGATATAGTTAGGAAGCACAATTGTTGGAAGGCAAGGATTCTGGTCAATGAGTAAGAGAGACTGTGGAGATGTTAGTAGCAGTAACGAAAAAAGTGAAAAGCAAGAATGTGGAACAACGTGTCATATCCAAGAGGTGGTTCTGAAAGCTACTTGATAAGAGATGCCAAAGGGATAGAATGTATTTAGAAATTAAGACAGTTGTCATGGCTGTTGTGTTGGGTTAACGTGCTTACCAGTAAGGTAAACACTTCAGGTATCATGGCATGAAGTACTTACAAGTTTATATTTTTGAACTGTATTCATTAATGGTGATCAGAAAGCTGGGTGTTACAAAACATCTTGGGCAGCAACTTGCAGAAGATGCTGTCAGAGGAGCCTTAAGGTAAACAGTTACCTTGTTACTGGAGTTCAGCAGTGACTGTAACGTTTAAAGTGTTTCAAAAGGACAATACAGCTAGTGTAGTGATTATAAATTATAGTAAGTATATAATGTTTCTAAACCACTTTACTTTTTCTTTTCGAAATGGTTAGAAATGGTCTGTGCCCCTTTATCAAATTCACTTGCAACACTGACCCTTCAAAAGAGGTAATAGCATATTATGTATTCAGATGCAGAGCACTAAGAGTTATGTCTGATAGTTCGATTCTATGTAAAACCTTTTTGAAAGTCAAAGCACTGTGGGATTGAAAAACCAATCTTTATTACTGTTGGAGTTACAGAGGGATCCTGTGCACAACTGGAGATGGAGAAGATGAAAGAGACCAAAGGTAGCATTGATACTTCCATTATTACTCTGGCAACAGTTGTCCTAACAGATTCTAGTTGTGAGAATGGCTTTTATATAGTGATATTGCCAACTGTGGCTTGGAAAAAGATTTGTCCTAGCGTTATGTCCCAAGCTGTTTCCTAGAACCCAGCTTAGCCACATTTCCTGGAAGTGTCGTTTGAAGAGTTGGTCCAAAGGCAACTGAAATTGCTGGGCTGGGACTACTACATCAATTTCTTAATGAACAGCGGCAACACACAGCCCTAATGTATGTACATTCTCAAGTGGAAGAGCATCCTGTTACAAATTTAACACAAAAGCAAATGGATTTACAGGATAGGTAAACAACTCAGCCTTAGAATGTAAGGCTTATTAGTAGACCACAAAACAATTCACAGAACAGCTAAGGAAAAAACATGAGAGACCACATGCTGCTGAATGGTTCACAAGTGATTCCAAATAAACATGCTGCTTACAGCAGATGATCAAAGAAAAAGAGCACTGAGGAAGGAAAGGCTGTTGTTCCACCTACCCTGAAGGTTTTGTGGCTACTAGTGGTGGTAGAGTGGAGGAAGTGGAATTTTATCCTGGCTGAAGAACCCCTTGTTAGTATGAGAAACAAAAATAGCAATAGTATTTTGCACCCCAGGAAATCTACAACAAGTATAAGTGAGAACCGGAGGGCTCCTTGATATCCTTGGTGGCCAGAAGTCTCTCTCTAGAACTGTTCAGGGTAAAAGAAGAATGGGAATTCTAAAGGAAATGCAAAAGAAGAAAGAAAACTTCTAAAACTAGAGAGAGTAGAGTGAAACACTTGAACCAGAGATAAGATGGGAAAAGATGAGCAACTGAGCAAGGTGTGTACATGTTCTGAAAGGTCATAAATGAGCTTTGTTTTGTCCTGACACATTCTTTGCTAAACAAAGGTGAGATTCAGGACGACAGTTTTTGTTCAGTGTAAATCATTGCAGATCCACTGAAGACAGATACAAGTCTGGCATTCTTGTTTCCTGCTCCTAAACCTTTTCGTTGCTGACTAAATGGGCTCTAGTGGTGCAGGCTACAATTCTGAACTAAAATCTACTGTAGTTTTTAAAAATAAAGCAGTCACATTGTTGTCCATGGAACACTTGAGGTGGCTCTATTTAGCATCTTCAGGACTGCGTATTTGTTGACTTAGTGTTTCAAAGGTGTTAAAGTAAAAAGTGATTGATGTAATTGCCTCATTAAAAAAAGCCAATAGCTGCAATTATAAATGTGGGTGGAAGAATGTGCAATAAATTATAGATATTAAACATGGAAAAAGAGCACTTAGGCTGTTTAGTCTTTTTGCATGTAGGGAGTATTCTTTACAGGAAAAGAACCACACAGAATCCATAACAGATGCTATGCCAGTGATCCACAAAGCTGCAACCATTTAGCGAAATTTTGCTTTTTCGTGTGGGTTCCCAGTGATTTTTTTCCAGTTGCAACTGTAATTACATAAGGAATTTGCCAAGATACGCCTTTTAAAGATAAGAAGGATAAGCAGATATTCTTGGGACTGGACAAAAGAGTGGCTTGCACTTAAATAGCTGTGATTTGTTGTAAGGCTAGCTGCTGTCCATTGTTTACTGAAGTGCACAGATGTCTTTCCAATTCCTGCATGACTTACAAGCATTTGGGTTTATTTCCATACATTTTCAAATGCGAGAAAATTTGTAGTAGAACTAGTAGGTACAAATGGGCATGCTAACCTAGTGCTTCCGACTTTGAATAGGAATTTTCCACAAATCCTTTTGATCCAGTAGAGGAGCTGAGGGCAGGCAATGTTCCTGTGCTGTTCGCGCTCCCTCTACTGTTTTTTTGGAGGCATGTGAGGTAGAATACAGCTGGCTAACGTACTCGGCTGCATGAAAAGCGGACTTGATGGAAAAATAGACTACAGGTCAAAAAGATTGAGTGGAAAACTGTATCTTCGAGCTGATCTTAATTCATATTCCTGACTCTATTATTTGTAATGTAGTTTTTAATTATATGATCTACAGTTTTCAACAGAGCTTTGGTCTTATGAAAAGAGTTAACTGTTATTTAAAGTACTTGATCTGTTGTGGAAATTAAAAGCCACTTAAGAAATGCAGTGGTACTCTGAAAATAGAAAGAAAGGTTTTAAGGGTAGGTAACCTCAGTTTTAGTGTCTCTAGTCTTCCCAGTCTTTGAATGTTTTGTAACTTTACTGATGAGGTTATAAGGAGCATAAGGGATAAAAATAGCATTTAAAGAAAACTGAATGTTGCATTACAGGCAGTCCACATGGTGTTGAAATATTAAAAATAAAATTTAAAAAAATAAAATTATGAAATACAAGTATGTAAACTGATAACAAGCTGCAGATGTGTACATGCACAGAAACATATTTATTTTGTTTAAAATCAGATAATGAGGGTATAGTAGCATATTCTGAATCTGTCCAAGTTTATTTTAAGCTGCAAGATGAATGTTAATATGTGCTAAGAAAAGAGGTGAGAAACTGCAATGAGTGGATGGTGTTCATCCTATTAGAAAGAATGTTGGCAAAAATGCTGTCAGGAAAGAAAGCCTCAGTTTCATTAATTACATCAAACTGTTGGAATGCTGATATGGAAAACTTCCATTATTGCCCAGAAAACCATAACATCCTTGTTGTCTGGCTAGAAATAAACATGTAATAGTTTTATGAAATTGTTCATATTGCTCGATAAAATTGTTTTTAATCTATTGTCAAACTAAAAGCTAAAAGTAAGCCATAACCATGTAATAATAATCTGAGCTATTTCTATAGTCAGTAGGAACACTTAGACTTGTATGTAATCAAGATGATAATAAAATATTTAAGAAAAGTTTATAAACCAAATATAAAGTAAAAATTGTGAAAGAATTATTCAAAAATACTGTATTTTTCATTTCTTTTAGAATGTATTACTCTACAGAATGTGATAAAGGGTCTAACACAAACCATTGAAAACCAGTGTAATGTGAAAGGTAAAAGCAAAAATGTTCTTATATATACTGTACTGTAATTTAGAATGAGCAGGCATTTAACTTTTTGTTTTATATTTACCTTTTTTTCAGAGAGAGAAATCAGTTGCAGCCAAATAGAAAGGGAAAAAAATTATCTCGAATCAATCTTGTGCAGAGTTTTGTGGTCTGTGTGCTAAATGAGTATCTATTGCTATTATCCTACTTAGAATTCACATGTAAAAGGAGTTCTGCCTCAGTGAGGTTTTTATAATAATAGTTGGGCTTTAAATTTATTTCAGCATACCACAGGCAAAAAGTGGGAAAGTGTTATTCAGCTGTCACTGGACTGTAGCCTATTAAAGCATTTATGCATAGTTTTTATCACTTTGTTAAACCAAAGAGTCTTAATCCTCAGTGTAACGTTATTAAAACTTAGCTGTTTATCCATAAATACTCGACAATTACTCATTGCTATTTTTAAATAAAATATATAAATATTTGCTGTATCTTTATACCACAGTTCAGCTGTGGAGCATGTAGTTAATTTTATACTCATAGTGTGTTCAAGGTATATTCACATAAATATTAATAAACGTCTAGCAATTGGAAGTATATGGCTGCTTTTAATACTCAAAGTGACTTTTAGTAATCAAAAAAGCATTATCTGCTTTTTCTAAATTCTGTTTTTGAGATACTAGTTTCTAGGTTTTGGAAAACAAGTGCTTAAAAATTTTCCAGTTTGCATCTTCCAATTCGAAACTGTTGAAGCCCTGATGATAATCTTTTTCTGAGCCAAAGAACTTTGCATCTAGATTTTCTTGAATGCATCAGTTATCAGGAGGCTGAAGACAATTCAAAGTAGTAGTACCAGGCAAATATTATGATTAAACTATTAATTTTCTTGTTAAAAAAATTGAGATTGAGATTACGTAGTTCTGTAAATGATGATTATCATGTCTACAAAAAAGTTTCTTAAAGTTCAGGCAAGTCAAAAAATGAAAGTAATTTCTTTATTCTGCTTTCATGCTAATAATACTGTCAAAATGGGCTTTTTTTAGTGTAATGTTTTTTATTTACATAGATGAAAATGGTAGACTGAAGGGTACCATTGACATCTTGGAAGAGAAATTAAAGGCTTGTGAACAGGTACGTCACAAAGGATCATGCTTTAGATAGAGGAATAATATTTCATCTCTATTGTAGCTGTTCTTATATCTTTATATTCTTGAGTTTGCTACTGAATCCATTATTGTTGCACTTTCCCTAATGTTCTTCATGTGTAAAAAGAGACGAGTTGTTCTTATGACAGTATCAATATGGGAATGTGTTAGAGGGAGTAAGAGGTCAGAACTAAGTGCTGAGAACTCCGGCTCAGTCTAAGATGCACTTATTTTTGTAGCTGTATTTAGCTTTAAATTCAACTTTACATTCTAAAATAGAATTCCTTGCCTTAAAATATATTTTGTGTGAAAACAAGGTTTTGATATTCACAACACCTGCTGTACTTCCAGAGAAGTAGGAACTGTCTGAATTTTGTCTATAGTTTCTTTGGGAGTAAGTGCTGCAAAGATAATAGGTCTCTACTTTTTATCTGTGTCTCATAATAAATTCCATTTACCATCTCTCTCCTCTTTATCAATGCCACTCATTTTTGGAAAGGAGGTAACACCACCAGGGCTTGTCAGAAGTTGTGTTAGTTCTCTGTGCTAAGACTGCAGATCTCTTACCCATATAGGATTAGGAATCTCACTGCTGATTTTCTTTGTGTTTATACTAACTCTGAGTTAACAGTAGGGCTATTATCTTGACAATTTGAGAATAAAATAAGTAATGCCTTCAGAAAAATGTGAGAAAACTATGATTCTATCCATTATATACATGCATGGACAAGGTGGAACTTCCTAGTGTTGTTCTGAAGACACTTGACTGTGTCCATATATACTATTACCACCAATAGTTAGTGAATTTGTGAGTGCCTCTGAGCACTGATCTGGTGAACGGCTGCCTGCCTTGCCAGAAGGTTCTGAGAAGAGCTTTGGAGTAAGCACCTCTACATTGACGGCTACAGCCAATTCTTTGATAATTCTGGAGTAGTTATGGGAGCAAACTTACAATAGGCATACTCAAACTCTTCACTTGAGTATCAGTGCCACCAGCATCACTACTGCTGATATCACTGATATTTCTACTGCTGCCAGTATGAAGTTGTGGAATCCTTGGTAAAAGCAATATTAACAAAATTCATACTTTAAATATGACTTTTGTTACTCAATTTTACAGTCAAAAATCTACAAAAGTAAAACTGTAGTCACGTAACTAACTGCAGCATTGTAGCAGATCCTGGGTTGAGGAAAGGAGTATTACCTCTCCGTTTGCCTGTTCTAGTAATTACGATTTCTGATTCTATATTAACTGGTAGCTGTAATACAATGAATTCTGCTACATTTTTCGTCTGTGGACTTCAGCCAGATTGTCTGAGAAGTAACCGGACATTTTGAATTTACTAGATTGAGGATAAAACAAGTTCTGAATTACAGAGTACTGTACATTTTTACAGAATATTGTGCTGTAGAAGGCTGAAAGCATAGAAACCTCAAGATCATTATGAAGCTTTTTATATTCACAGGAATATAAAGATCAGATTGAGAAACTTAAGATAGAGATGAAAAACAAAGAGGAAGACCACAAACTAGAAATAACACAGTTGAATTGCGAGATAAGAAAAAAATGTAAGTTGTCTGAAGACTGAATGGTATAGCACTGGGTAAAACATGTTGTAACCTGTAGAGGCTATATGTCATCTAGGACAAGTACAAGTTCCACTTCTTAGTGGAAACATATGAAAGCTAGAAGTGTACAGTAGACTGTGGCAGTGAGGCAATAGTACAGCGGTGCAGGATGAGCAGGAATTCCCGAACAGGTAGAACAGACACTGGGAACTTGGACCTAAAAATCTGAAGGAATGAAATTCTAGGTTAAGTATTGACTGGAAAATTGCTTTGAACTATAAGCCAGACTGCTGTTAAAAGTGTTCCAGCTATGCTCAAGAGAGTAGGACATCATTTTCACAAATAAATAATACAGTAATGAGAAAAAACTGATTTCAGTGTAAATTTTTTCTATTACTGGCATAGCCTTAAAGAGTAGGTTTCTTTGGTCATCCACTCAGCTGAAAAAAGCCAGACAAATTCTTTTTAAAATGTGATGCTTCCTTAAAAAGACTCCACCTTACTGGGATGGGACAGTGTGGTTCTCACATAGTTGTAAAGTATGTTTTTTGCTTGAATGAAATTGTTTTCCTATGAAATATTGACCTGCTGTTCAAGAAAGTTTTAATATTTGGGAGATTATGTTATTTTTCCATCTAAATATGTTCCTATAATCATTTTGTTTGGTGTTACTGCATTACTAGTTGAAGTACAAGAAGTGGAGTATAGAGAACAAAGAGAGAAAAAAGAACTGGAGATATTAGAGCTAACTCGACAACTGAAAATTCAAAATGAAGAGAAGCAGAATGAAATAATTAAACTGCAGATAGAGGTATGCATTATGAAGCTGAGTTAAAGACCACTTGAGCATTGGGTAAACTTAGAAGAGATTGTGTAGTGAAAAATGTTAATTAGTACTTAACAAAGTAGTATGATGGAATCTGGGAAACGTAAAAAATTATTGTCTTTACAAAGACCAGTGGCATGTGCTGCCTTCCATAATGGTATCTGAGTTGCTTCTCCTCAGGAATCGAGTTCTACATACTGTATAGGGAGGTTCAAGTTTGCTGTGTTCTTGTTTTAAATTAAATTATTTTAAAAATTGTGCTAGTTTTCAAGATAAAGGAAAAAAAATCCTTTTTTTCTGCTTATTTTTATTCTTTTTAATTTCTGAATGCTAGGGAGATGTATTTTTTATAAACTTCCAATAGCTTAAAGACTTCTAATCCTGTGGAGATCTGAGTCACAATTCAACATGTATTTCATGACTCAAGTTTTAAGCCACTCTCATTACAGAAAGAATGGAGGAAATACTTCAAACCTTTCACATATCAAAAAAGAAATAACATGTGAAAGTTCAGGCTGAGTTATCCTTGGAATGTGAGGGAAGGGTGATGGTTTCAAAGGTTTTTAGAATCTTCTGCATTTTCTCCTCCTGCAGATGGTGTTCAAAATTCCTTTTAGTAGTCATCTTGTTCATCTAAATGTATTCGGTTTATCGTATTTGTACTCTTTACTTTTTGTGATATTTTGAGACATTTTTTAACAAAACATAACTTGTAATTGCATTCTTTTTTAAATAAGCTAAAGTAGCTTCCTGGTCCTAGGATTAAATAAGCTTGCTATTGCTATTTTCAGATACAAAATCCAATTTAAAAAAAAAGAAGAAAATTATAGTTGTATTATTTAGCATACCATTTTTCCTGTTGGTTCTTAATGTTTTATCTTTTCCTGATTCTTTCAGTTCAATGCCAAGTTAGCAAGAGTTCAGAATAAAACCACGAAATCATTTTCAGATGCTTCTGTCTTGCCACAAAGCATTTATCGAAGGGTACGTGCTTTAATAGCCTGTAGCCTGCAGATACCAAATACTGTGACAGCCTGTGCGAAACAGCACTTCCCTGAGGTTTTACGGTGTTCTTCCGCAACAAAACTTTGGGGCTGGGGGAGTTTCGGGGGTGGAGCCTCATGTCTTCCGGTCCATCTTGGTCTCTCCCACATCCCTCTCCCCTCTGGACAACTACTCTCCTGTCTTTTTGCACTGATGATGGTATAGCTGGGGTTCAATAGCAAAAGCCCACACGTGAAGTGGTTTTAGTACAGGATTGTTAGCCTGGTAACTTGAAACAGAGCTGACATAAATGTCTGTGATGTAAATTATCACATTGTGATGTAAATGACTGTGGTATAAATTTTATATGTATTTCATATATAATTTTTACACATATTTATATAAAGGGCAATGGATATGGATATGGATATTTATATGGATATGGATACAAGGGGAAATTGATTTAAACTGAAAGAGGGGAGACTTAGATTAAATATAAGGAAGAAATTCTTCACTCTGAGGGTGGTGAAGCACTGGAACAGGTTGCCCAGAGAAGTTGTGGATGCCCCATCCCTGGAAGTGTTCAAGGCCAGGCTGGATGAGGCTTTGGGCAACATGGTGTAGTGGAGGGTTTCCCTGCTTATGGCAGGGGCGTTGGAACTAGATGATCTTTGAGGTCCCTTCCAACCCTAACCTTTCTATGATTCTATGATAAATTATATATAAATCTGTAGGCTTGGGACTTCAGGATGTCACAAAAATAGGATTCCGGGAGAGTCATCTTTGCAATATAAAATACATAGAAAAATATTCTTATTAGAATATTTCTCATTAGCAATAGCATATTGTAGTGTTACATAATTCAATGCGATGTTTAACACTGAAGGCTTTGCTTACATTAGAAGCTGCAGCATCTCCAGGAGGAGAAAAACAAGGAAATTGAAATTCTCCGAAACACCATAAGAGACTTAGAGCAACGTCTTAATAAAGGCCAAGACCTGCACTTGAAACGGAGGAGGTTTTGACTAAATGATATGAAGTATTTCAGTAGCACATACAATGAGGAACAGAAACAATGTATTTCAAACTGCGCACCTGACAGTAAAAACAAGAGGTGAGGAAATACGGAGTATTTTTTATTGAAAACGCTCCTGTCAAATATTCCAAAGGGATGCATTCTGTGTATATTCAGGGCTACTTTCTTGCTAATCAGCATTCACAATAAAAAGCTTCAGGTTTCGTAGGAGTAATAATTTCCCTATTAAACCATCATTAATTATGGTGTACACTTTCAAAGCAGTTTTCCTTCCCTGAATATTCTCTTCTTCATCCAGGAATCCTTCAAACAACTACATTTTTACTTCAGCTCAGTTAATCAAAGGTTAGGAATGCTAAGCTACAAACAAAGAAGTTATACAAGTTTAAGTGGTATATTCCCTTACTAATCAATACAGATTTATCAAATTCAGCACTGTTAAAACAAAGATAAACAGTAAACCAAGGCTGGATTTCTTCTGCCCCTCCCTCTTTTTGATACTGACACCAATTCTGCATGAAGAGTTGTTAACATTGCTTCTCACTTCAGACACATTCTTACTGATTTAGTAGGATTTTACAAGCTGTAATAGTATGTCTTAGTGAATCCTGATACCATATCTAAGCCACAAAAGTTAAGCATATAAATCTGTTACTTTAAAATAATGCATCTACTGCTTGTATCTTACATTTGAGATTAAAAGTTATTTTGGCACGTTGCTTAAGAATAAGCTTTTCTTGTACATAATTTGTATCCCCAAGTTAGAAAAAAAAAAACAAAAAAAAAACCCCAAAAAAAAACAAAAAAAAAACAAAACAAAAAAAAAAAAAACAAAACCAAGAAACAAACACTAACTTTTGAATCTATTCCCTCTTCTTAACAAAAAATGATTAAAATATCTGTTTTGGTTATCTTCTGTTCTTGATTGCAAAACATCAAACAGGAGCCCCTAGGTCATAGTTTATGCTCCTGTCCTCACAAATGCAAGCAGAATGTTAGAAGATAAACAAGAAAGACAAATTAATCAAGAATGCAGACACCTTCCCAGTGCAACTGAAAAACAAACTACGGGTCAATTAAATTCCTTTATGATGCTTTTCACTGATGGAATTTGACAGGTATTGTGTAATTCTAAGGGAACTGCTCTCAAAGTCTCGTTCTTTGCAAGATTTTAACTCTACATACCTGTCTTAGTATAATTTTTAATTAAGGACAATAAAAACCCTTATTCTGCTAATTTTCCAACTCTCACAACTGTATGAATTTCGGTAGTAGGACTCCCCTGCATTTTTAAGGTGCTTAGTTTGTTTTTCAGGCTCAGTTTCTTGCCTTTTCCTGTCACTGTCAGGTGTCACTGGTTTCACTTGCTCCTCCTGCTGGTGACTGTCACGCAGCAGCAGAGAGCAGACGTCACTGTCAAGATTCAGTGACATCCTCGTCTGACAGCTGGCCATGTCACCTGCAAGAATTCGGAAGTGCTCCACGACACTGTCAAGTGACAGAATTTCCTAGCTCTTCAAACAAAAGGTGTCGACAATGACAACATCAGCTACTCGAAGTTGAGTCTGATGCTGTCTCCCAATTTCAAGTTAACTGTTTTTTACAGCTGGTTTTCCCCTTTTTTCACAGCTTTTTATCTTGTGTAATTTCCACACTTTCTCCTGGAGGAACAGTGTCTACCTGTTCATGACTACCTGTCTGATCATTTCTGTTATGGCCAAAAACTCTATGACGCCGACCACTGTGAGGATGATGTCTTAGAGTTTCAGAAGGAGCCTGATGGTTCTCATTTTTGGAACGACGACTGCCCTCGTGATGGTGGTGGTGGTGGTGGTGGTGTCTGTGCCTGTGCAGGTTGTGGTGATGGGAATGTTGATCAGTTGGTTTGGGTTCTATCTCTGCTAGCTTTTCATCTGCTTTTTTAGTGATGTTTTCACATATACCATCAATATCAGGTTCCTGAAAAACAGAAGCTTGCATTAAACATAAGGCATTATGTTTAAACTAGTTGTAAAATATTAATTATCTGAGTGTTTTTTCAGTACCTGAAACCCAATTTTAAATTATTCTCACTACTTTGCTGAAGAAAGATATGAATGTATCAAAAGACCTTGTTTTGCAACACCACTGATAACCAGACAGGGCTCTAAACATAAACTTTTAGGAATTACAATTCAGTAATTGCTATAAAAAGTATTCTTTTTCTAAGGATCCCAAATTTGACCAGCCTGAGGCCTACATTTAGCTGGAAAACTGTATGACGGGAACAAAAATTATTCTTTCCATTGAACTTTCATGACTGTGTATGCATATTTCTTGATAATCCTTTAAGTAGTTCTGCTCTTTAGTTATATGTAAAACAAAGCTTCCTTTCTTTTATAATGGTAACAATAATTTGTCACCTTGTATCATCACTTTTTAAAAAGTAACTATTGTATAGTGTGTTTAAATGTGAAAACTGAAAGGACTAGAAACTCAAACCAGCCTGGATTCGATTCCCAGGTTTTTAAAACAATTACTATTTGTTTAAGTATCTACCTGTCCCCAGAAACTAAAGTAGCTAATTACTTGCTATCTGTGCATAACTCCAGAAAGAGAATTAGCCTCCAAGATTGCGTTTGGATTTCTGAAAATGATTTGCACTCCTATCAAGGGCAGGAATTCAGATACTTATTATAAATTAGATCTAATTCACTTTGAAAAATGTTTAAAAGCTCTCTGTCAAGACACACGAGATGTGTAAATTTTAAATCATGTCTTTTGGGATTAATCACACTGAAATAATTTTTTTCAGTACCAGTCAAATCCAGTTTCATTCCCTACTATATACAGAATGAAACAAGAAAATAGTACCGTGTAAGAGCAGTTTCCACACTTGTTCTCACAGTATGCAATCTTAATAGATTCTTCTACGTATTGGAAAGACAGGAAGGAATAAGGCAGTCCCAGGTGATACACCAGACGGCCACATCTAAGGAGAGAAAAGACTCTGTGGTTACATATGCGTAAACATACACTTAAAATTAAATATTTCTTCTTATCACACCTTGTTTCATTCACGTCAATCCACCCACACCATATAGTCCCACGGGGAGGACTTCTGTCCAAGTTTACAGGCGAAACCAACATCTGCCTGGCAAACATTTGCCCACTCACTGCACCCGTCAGTGGTGTGAAGTATGACTTCTGGCTGATGCAGTAACTCTGCTGCCAGGAGCATCTGGCTCAGCAGTGTTGAGATGAGCAAAGGTGCACTCATTAGAGACTCGCCTTGCTAATGAGGAGGGTGTTTGCATAGTGGCACGAATCGCCACGTGGTTGTGGGTCCTTACAAAGAATGTTTTTACGCAACACAACATGCGTTTTGATCAAAATGTGCATTGGGGTGCACCTGTGTTACCGGTTTAGTGCGCACGCGGGGATTTCTGTGGTGCCTGATTTGCCCCACATCAGCACTCAAGCACTCTGCGCTTGGCTACACAACCGGAACATTCAAAGAAGCGGGAGTAAGCGCAGGACTTGTACAGAGAGGCACCCTGATGACTACCCCACCTGCCATGTCAGCACATGGTCCTCCAGCCTTAGTCTCGTACACGTCTGCAGTGCACATCTGGGACCAGCAACAGGCAAAGACTTCACCGCCAGTAACGGCACAATAAGGACATACATTCCTAAATCATGGCCAAACCAGTGCCAAACCCACTCATAGTGCCGGTGTATCCTACATGTCGGCAGCACAAAACTGTCCAACCTTTCCAACGCTGTAAGCCTGGTGGCAGCTTTGGGGCACCTCCACGAACTACAGCCGTGTTCCGTTTGTCTGTCATACGACAGCAACCTTCCACACTCAGGCATATCTGTTGCTGTGACATGCAGTCTCTCTAAAGATGGTTCTAGTGCGAGTTTCATCCCACAGGCCTAACTTGGCCAATTCGTTCAACTTCATCATATTACCAAAAAAACGTTAAGTAACCTTCTAATTCTTTATTAATTATGCTTCAGTATGAACTGAGAATGTTTGTTACAGTAACATAATAGTAATTAGGAGGGACGTGTTAAAAGTGCAGTACTTGTCAAATAATTTCCATCACATCAAAACTGAAAAATCAGGACTTCAATTAAAGGGTTATTTCTGGTTCTGCTAAAAGATACATGTCCCATAATCTTATGATCAAAGAGCTATTTTCTTCCGAAGTTTAAGTTTCACTTAAAGACTAATTTTTCCATATGGCTACATGACATTTTCAACAACTCCGGTCAAAATGTCTTCGTAAGAACTCACACAGATTTTCTCGTTTGATTCTACCTTCACATGTGTGGATGTAACAAAGTTGTTGAAAATAAAAACAGTGTAAGACTAGAAGCATCCTATCAAATTCTGCACTCAGTTATACTAATCTAAATCCACAGTAATTATAAACAAAAATTTATTTATCCCAAACTCACTTAAGCAAAAGAAGCCTTTTATTTTCTGGCTTTTTCCAGCAAATGCAAGTGCTTTACTAAGTGCAACTTAGAAGTCGATTATGATGTCTTTATTGTGAGGTAACTGGGTTATTGGCAGATCAATGAAATAATACAGAGGTTTTCAAAGCCTTGCTCTAAATAAAGCCAAATATTTTCCTGCGCTCCCCTCTAAACACAAACCTGTCATAGATGAGAAAGTCATCTTTGTTTCCATTTAAGGTAGTCCAGACGTCAGCTTGCTGTTCATCTTGCTGGTAGACAGTAATATAGTCTGAAACACTTTCTTTCAGTAGGTGAAATTTCCTCTGGGAAGAAGTTCCCTGATGGTTGACAACCACATACGAGATATTGACGAGCCCTTCATTCTCTAACTTCACTCGCAGGTCCTCCAATCTATTGGAGAATGTAAAGAAGCAAGACCATTAATCATTAGAGAATCATAAGTTTTGCCACGTTCAACAAAACTTAATATGCTCTATCTTGCTTTTATTACAGTGAATTTTATTTTCTCCCAGTTTTAAGGGCAACAATCTAACACTGTTAAAACATTCTCACATTTGCCACGACTATCAGCTATGCTGTCACCAAACCAGGCTACCATGGCTAGTACGCCATGGGTCCTGCCCAAGTAAGTAGAATGCAGTACTAAGTAACATAGACAGGTCTGTTTTCAGACTGAATTCAGTGTTATTTTTATTTCACACTCTTCATGGTCTAACACAGTTCGTTTATTTGACGTCTTTATTTAAATGTTGAGATTTCGGTCACATAGTTGGTGAAAGAATGCATACCATAAACACAGCAGGAAGGTGAATAATCGAGAAAGCAAACCTGCAGTAAAAGGCTGAGAGCTCTCATCTTGTCACACACCTTGACACAGCGATTTTCTGTAACAGCCAGAAAAGGGGTACTGCAGCGACTGGGTCAAAAGGATGGCTACAGGATGTGTGCATGACCTGTCTGGCAGTCATTAGTCTTTCCCTTTGGCATCCCATCACAAAAGTCTGTCTTTGCTTGACAGTACAGAAAGCTGCTTTCCTGCTGTACGATGAGGGTTTTTTTTTTCCCTTTTCATTTGGATCCTTCCTATTGAATTGCGCTAGAAAACTCTTTTATTTTCACTTTCAGGAAATAGCCTAGGGCTTGAAAGATTCTTTAAAACCTTTCTAAAATGTACAGAATCAAACCCAACTACCTGGAATGCCAACCACAAAGCCCTCTTCTGACTTCGATGGAGTCAGAAATTTACCACAACTTTTTCAAATCTAGTTCTTAAAAAACTTGCCAAGACTATTATAGTATGAAGCTATGCAGCCTAGAGGGGGAAACTAAGATGTTATTACAGTGATTAAAATCAAGCTCTGAAATCGGTACTATGAGTTTTTAAACCAAAATGTTTTCACAATCATTAAATGAATCCAAGATATAAGCAATATGTATGCAATTCCTGTTTTGGTCAGCTCAAAATTATTTTCTTGCTGCTGTTACTGTCATGATATCCAATTATTTGGACAGGAGTAGGTCCTAGAAACTAGAGCACTAATGTCCCAGGTCTTGTACGAAAATGTAATACTGATGATTCTCTTGAATGCTTCATCTGTTTTTCAAAAGGCCAGGTTTTATCTTCTGGATTTTTTTTTTTTATATCTAGGACAGGAGCTGGGAAAATGCATTAAAAGTAAGTGTTTTGATTTGTCTCTCCCCTACAGATCTTATGTAAGAAATGAGTGATCACGGATTTCTCTGTTTCAGGTGTTCTAGCCATGTCAGAGAATGATTATGTTTCTTGGCTTTGGCATCTTTGCTACATTAATCATCTGTTGCTAACAGAACCATAGCCTTGAGGAGCTGTTTCTGTTGGGCTTCCATTTGTTTTGGGCTTCATTAATATCAAGCTGATCACACTTTTATGTTGTAAATGCAATCTGGAGAAGATGAAATGTCAGTCAGGACTAAGTCAAGAGATAAAGAATCTGAGCCACTGGCACAGAACACTCCTGCTGAGAGTCAACCTGGTCACTCTGGTCATACATGCCAGCTGGGATGGTGGCATCTGAGGAAGCTAGAGTTCACTGAGTGCATCTGTAGTTGGGCACATATATTATCCTCAGATGACATTAACAAATTGACCAGTCATGTTTTCACAAAAACTGGGAAAGAGATTCACGCTTACCTGGAAGCCTGCAGCAGGCACAAGTATCAGCTAGCTTGGAGGAGAGCCACCACCGTCACTGAGCCCCTGGAGTTCAGCATTGGGTTCTCCTCCCCAATATGCCATTCTGGGGGCTCCCTGCAGTTCTGGATCTCTGTCCCTCCTCTTGGGAGGAGACAGAGAGCCAGAACTAGCCCCAGTCCTGCCCACATGGCTGGGCTTTATCTGAAAAGAGAGAAAATAAACAAAATGAGATCAATGCCTAAACAAAGTTCAGACACTGGAATTCCCATAACAAAACACAGCAGCATATTGACTCCATTCAGTTTAAAAAAACCTGTAAGAATAAATTCAAGCTATTTTATTTACTTGTTTGATTGCATTTCTTTCGTTTTACAGTGGAGTTCCCCTATAATAAACAGGCAATTGTGGGTTTGTTTTTTTTTTGTTGCTGTTGTAGGTAAACAGATAAAAAGTAAGTGTTTAGAATAACTGGATTTTCTTTAAACGCTACTAATCAGACTATGTTGTTCCTTCCTCTTTGTAATTTCATCTTGACTGTTTTTAACACTTCGGTGATTTTAAAGTGGCCTAATTTCTTATGTTTTGAAATCAGTGGTGCTGAGGCATTTTACACCAGTAAGAATTTGGACAGTTCACTCCAGATTCCAGAGTAATTCCACTCACACCAACAGTGTATTTTGGTACACAGCAAGTATTACAGAACCTGGCAGAAATTTAAAAAAGACTTAAAAGATTTTTACAAGTCAGTCTGTAGCATTGGATCCCATTGGGAAAAATCTCTTAAGAATGCAGGCTCTATCTAGACACAATTCTGCAAACACAGGAGATGAAAACTGAGTTTCAGTGTTCCCCAGATCTTACAAAATCTCTCACCCACACTTAGTCCATTTAATGTTTACCAAAATCAAAGCATATGAGAAATTCTATCCTCATCTTTTCGTTTTATTCCATTAACATAATTATTTTGGCTTAATATATTTAGAAAACATCCATTATCAAGAAACATATAAAATCATAAAACTGCTCTCCAGCATGTTCTAGGTTGTGGAATTGTATAATTTCACCACTGGTACCAGAGTCTGACGATAAACACTAAATGTTTTGGAAACACTAAGCTGAGATAAATAACGTACGTTTCATCGACCTTGTCATGTTCTAAAAAATTAAAACATTTTGATAATTGAGCTTTTAAAACAACAGCCAGCTGCTGCACAGCCGATACTATTTCTGAAATCCGTCTCTCCCTAATGGTTCTTTCCTGCAGTTCTACCAAACCAAAAACAATTTAGATTCAGTACTCTGAAGATTCAACTGTGGTCCAATTGCGAACAACAGGGCCACTTTTTCACTCTCTCCACACTTCTGGAAAGCTGCCTGCCTTTATAGCCATTATAAACACATGAAACTCCTATGACGTCTTGAGATCCTTCTACGCCTCTACAGCCTTCTGCAGCACTGGCACACAATGCCCAGCAACAGCTGTCTCGCCCCGTGAACTTTATGAGAGCCGTGTTCTGAATTACACTTTTCTTCGGATTTCAACTTTCTAGTTGGTTTCTGATGGAAATTTCCACAGTCAGCCTTTCCAGCCAAAGAAACAAGCAGACGCTCTGCCAAATCTTAAGTCATGAAGCTCTTTCACAGCAAAACCAGCACACTTACCCTTTCCTCCCCCCGTTCCTTGGCAGCTCCGCTGAACTCCGCTGCAGAGGAAAAACAGTGTGGGGAAATGGGCTGCGGTATTTATACAGCTCTTGTTTATCTCACTTTGCAGACGCGGTTCAAAGTTCAGGGAGCTCATTCTGAACGACCTTGCAAGCAAAGCAAACCCCTTTAGCAAAAGTAGTCAAAATATTTCTCCATTAACTAATTCCGAGTGGAAATCATTTATCGTGCCGAATGGCAAGGTATTTTTAATATAATGACTTTGGATATCAGGGCGTGCAGTTCCTCAGTCACCCCAGCCAGCTGGAGGTAGTGGTACAGTCAGAGGAGGGGGGTGGGCCAAAGAGTCATTATTTTCCGAACACAGTGGTAACCACAGTGAGCAGGGGACGGTTCTTCTCCATTTGTAAAAATGCTGAGCCAGCTCTTTTTTCTCTCATGTGCTTTATCTGACATTTGCTTTAGAGAATGGTGTACCCTGTCTGAGGGCACATGCAGAACAGAGCTCCTTTTGCCCAGCTGCTCCTGATTACATCACACAGCTTTAAAACTTAGTTCAGAAGAACCTGCCAGTTTGTCAACTTCTGTTGAAGCTTAGAGCCTAGATCATCAGCCATTTAAATGAACGTAGCTACATGAGAGCCATGAAGCTTTACCATCGGCCACAGACGTGTAACTCCTGCGTTACTCTGTTACGTTTTCTTAACACCACCACCACTGAGGTATCTGCGGACATTCAGGTTGAACTGTTTCCTGCTCTTTTTCCTCAGTGAGAGATTTGTTTCTGCATGGCATATTTTATTTTGACAGTAGTTTGCTTGAGTTTGATCTTCTTCAGTATATGTGTTTTGTGTGTTTATGGAGAAATAAATGTTTAAAAACTTGGTATGCCCTCAGAGTTTAAGGTGGTGAGATTTATATTGCTCAGTGCTGTGGCCTGAGACACTGTCTCCTGCACAGATGAGCTTTATGCTTCCAGCTGAGTGTGAGAAACAGAACTGCCAGCCTTGGGGTTTATCCTGTAGAAGTTCTATGCTCAAGTCAATGGAAAGAAAGACAAAATCTGAAGTTTTATTCCAGAGTCTTGGAGGACCTGATGTAGAAAGCAGACAGGTATCAGACTGAGACTGATTTGTTTTTAAAGGATGGAATGGGCTCACATTCCTTATATTGTTAGAGAAACACATGCTTGTATTATTTGCTGAGTTGGGACCATCATCATAACAGTGATGATGTCCTTTACTATTCTAAATGACAGATTATTTGCTGGGCCTCCTGCCTCAGTATAGGGTGTTGATTTTCAGTGCTAATGAAGCCCTGCAACATTGTTTGAAAGCAAGTATTTGGTATGCATTACGCCTGTCAATTCCTAAATGAGCACTGAAGCAGCCAAAAAAGAAACGAAGCAGGTACAGATCTATTAATAGGGAGAGGAATAAAATGCAGCTCAGTAGTGACTGACGGTTGGCCTCCTGCCAGTTATTGCAACACAAGTGGAGATACTATCAAAAAAAGAGCAATATTCCATTCCCGTTTCTTTTTCACCTTTGTAGAGGGGGATGTTCACAGGGCTTGGTTAAGAAGTGCTGAGCCCATAAGCCATGTGTAATACCAGTGAGGGATGCTGAGACTAGCAGCTCGCAAGTACTGAAGAATAAAGGGCCAGGACAGAGTAAACTGAGCTGAAGCAGCTAACTTATAAAACAGCTACCTTGCTATGGAAAGCACATTGAGGATGGAAATGTACAGCGGTCGCTACTGAAAGGTTAGTATTTCCTCTCATACGGCATGCAGAGACACGTGTAGACCCTCAGTTCCGTTAGAGACGAGAAGTGACTCTTGTTAGCAATCATCACTGTGCTGATAAATACTATTTATTATATTATGTATTATTATATTACATCATACTTATTATAACCTGTATAATATTAAGGAGAACTTAACTATATTCCTAGTGATAAGCCGTAAGCATCTTGCTTTATAACATTCACCTTACCTGAGATCATTGTTCTGCCTCAAGGTTTACTGAGGAAAAAAGTTCCTGTGTCTTAAACCAAGTGGTACGCAATATTGTAATGTTGGCTGTGGGTTTGGATAGATCTAATTCAGTTGTTTTAGAAACGAGTAAACCCTAATTATGTTTAAACTTAGGTCTGAAGCATTACCTTTTCTGAGTGGAAAAAAATCCACTTCCGTCTTTTTTTTTACAAACAGCAGAATAAAGATGTTAATAGTTTACAGTCTAAGAGTCTCACCATTATATTAATCCCCCTTGAATTCGTAAGCTCCTGTAGCCCTTTGTCCATAGCCTCTAAAGAAATAATTGTCTTCAATCTTAATTTTGCTTTGCACTGCAAGTATTTTCTTAGTTGTTGAGTATGTTCCAGTCTCACTGCAGGGGGCAGTTATGAACTCTCATTTGGACAACTCTTCAGTTTCAAACAATAATTTTTATAATTATCATCCTGTTTCTTCCATCACTTTCTTATTTGGGGAGAATAATGGTCCTGGTGGAAATAACAGCCCCCTTCCCTTCTTATTGAACAAAAGCTGTCCCCTTTTGTGACACGTTTCAAACTTTTTGAAGCATCACAGCACAGAAATACCAGTGTCTTTGGAAATTAACTGGTGCTTGTTATTTCTGTTGTCTAGATTGGTAGCATATGCATTTCTTAAAAAAAGTCTCAAATGGACATGGAATTACAAGGCTGCCAGTAATTATATTCTGGTAAAAGCTGCAATGATTTGCAACATGTGCAAATAACGAGAGGACAGAAGCAGAACACAGATCCAGCACGAATTCTACCATGAGACCTTAGGACTTCAGTGTCTGTTTTGCTCTTGTGACTGAAGGATGTCACAAACAGGGAATTCAAAGTCCACTGGCAGATCATAAGTCTCTGCTGATTCTTCTCATGTCTTCTCATTTTATAACAGTGTAGCTGCGTCAACTCAGTGGAGTTACTCATACTTTATAGTGGAATAAATTGCAACAAAAACAGACTGTTGAGGATTACTTAATGCTTACATAAACAAATTTCCATTTGTTTATGAGGCATTAAACTCTTGGTTAAATGCTGTAAGTAAAGGGTAATTTAAGTGAAGGCTAAGAAGATATATTAAAGTAAAGTAAATTCAGCAAAATAATCAGAATGGTGAGTTCATTAGTTAAAGTAACTCCAGAAGAAGGATAGTGGTGCAATATTGGTCTTGTGCTCCTCTCATGTGAGATCCAGAGCAGCAAAAGATAACTAAATGCATACTTCTCAGAGTTCAAAGGAAGCAACAAAAGCTGACATCCTCTGATATAGGCCTAGAGTCTGTTTCCGTGAATGAAGGAATAGCTCATACATGCAATGGTCTACTTAAAAACAAAATGAGACTTAAAGGAGCTCTGATCTAGTAGAGAAATGTTTTGGTTTTCTGCTTGGAACCTGTCTGTAGCACAGTGTAATTAGCAAGGAAGATCTTTTTTTTTGCACAGATTACAAATGCAAACTGACCCTAGTTGCTGAATACCTACATG